TACGATTTCCCATTGTTGCGCTCACTTCCATTTTAAGGAAAAGTGTGTGATGAAGAGATTTGCAGATCGAATGCACCAAAGGTCGATGGCGGATTCTGTTGGCTTTACAATAACTCCTGGATCAAAGCAGTTGCCGAGGCAACCTCAATCGATTAGAAAGAAAACGCGCTGATCGTTCACCTCACATGCCACTGCGGCATTCACCAGAACTAGGCCCCTTTGTTTTAATTAATGTCTAGACTCGTCTGCTTTAATAAGCTGTAAGAATGTTATCATAATATCGGATGTATTCACCCAATTTCGTTTAAGGTGATGAAGGACTGGTAGAAGAAGAATTTTCCCAAGATGATATGAGTTGAGCTGACGTTTCCATTGGATTTCGCATAGCCTTGCTTTCCCAAAAGTGGTTTTCTTCAAGGATGTACTGCAGTGAACCGCACTGTCGCGGTTCGACTCCTGCTTAGGGTGCTGATAAGACCGATGCGATGTCGAAACTGCAGTCCACTTCGGCTGGGATGAGAACAACTTTTGGGAGAGCAAGGCTATGTGATATTGAATGGAAATTTCAGCTCAACCCATTTCATTGTGGGAAAATTCTTCTTCTACCAGTCCTTCATCACTTTAAAATAAATTGGATTAATACATCTCATATTACTGATTTAGTGGTAGTCACGAAAACAATACGTAATTCGAAAAATAATGTTTTCCTACTCTAAAGACGTCTGTCAGGTGGTGTGACGGAGGATAGCTTGGCAGGTTTAGCATCAACAATTAGGTTCTAGTCAAAATCTCATCGAGAACTTAGCCTGGCTTTTCCTAAAATGAGTTAAGTAGGCTTTTGGGTGCCAATAAATTTAACCCAGCTTTATTTGCCAAAAACCTATTTTCTCCAGGCTGGGCTGCAGTTTTAACCTCTCCCCACTGTTTCGCATCAGCACAACTTACGGTCGTGAGATAAGAGTATCTATGTGACATTCAATGGCTTTGCAGGTCTAGCTCTTCTGATTTTGAGAAAAACTCAATTATCGGACCTTGAACCACTTGAATGACATAGGCTGATCGAGTTGTTATTCAAGGATTAGTGGTAGTCTCGAGAACTACTTATATATAAATAAGTAACGTCGTTGATTGCAATGGCAGACACATGCTTACTTAATGGAAAATCCCACAATACAATGTGAGTTGGGAAAGGTTGACCGTCTTGAATTTCACTTATGCCCCTCAACCCATTGGCACCACTGGCTGTATTGTGTTGTTGGGTAACATGGCTACGATACTCATGTCCCGGTATCGAGTCCAATTGGTACTGCTGATGAGATCGGTTCGAAACTGCATTCCAGCTTCTGGAAGGCAAAGCTAAGAAAACTTTAATGACATTATGATGCCTTACCCTTTCATTGTAGGAAAAACTAAAATATCAGTCTTTGAGGCTCTTTAAGCTGTCTAGGCTGAAAAAGTTCTTTTTTAAGCGTTGTTGATGAGCTCGAAAATTACTCATATTAGAACCAGGTTGAGCCTTCTGGTTGGGTCTAGCTTTGCTTCTCTTTATTAGACGATTTACTCTCGAAATAAAGAGCGAATTTATGAATTCAGGTTTTTTATTCACATTCACTGGGCTTCGAGACTATTGGTAGATCTTGAAAAGAGTTCTAGCCACTCTAGGTCGCCTAGTGATAGTATCAAGGCTTACTCATTGTGAATATAAGTAGCATAGTTGGTTGCGTAGACAAAATGTGCCTTTAACTGCAAGTCTGATAGCCATGGGAGTGTGGCGTGATGGGGACATGCCGAAAGTGTTCGAGTTCGGGTCCCGTTGAGGCTGCTGGTGGGACGCAGATGAGGTATCAACTGCAGTCCTGACCAGCTTGATTTATAATCCCTTTATGGAAGGAAAGGCCAAGTGGACTTTACTGGTATCCTGAGGCCTAATCCTATCAGCTTTTCACAAATTTTGACTACCGCTTTAATGCTGGTCTCTTCTTGTCACCTAAATCTGGTTCTGCATTCTCACTTTCCCTCTCGGCATCATTGGGCTGGTGCGCTGCAACTATGTCAGGTGGTCGCGGTCGTCTCTATCCTCTTCATCATCGTCTCTACCCTCGGTCTGACGTTGAGCACTCTTCCCGAGCTTCAGGTCAACGTTTCGATAGCTCGGGTCGAACTGGCCGCCGCGTCTTCCGCAAAAATCACCAATCCAGCTTCACTGCCCCAGCCTCCAGTCTCGACTGGCTCGAGCTTACCATCGCCGGCACCGTTGACGGCAACCATGGCAACGACACTGGCCCATTCGGGTGAAGAGGCCAGCGGAGAGCTGCACAGTTTGGAGGAAAATCCTCATCTCGAGGTGCTCGAGCGCTACTGTATCGCCTGGTTCACCATCGAGTACGTCCTTCGTCTCTGGTCGACTCCGAATCGTATCAAATTCCTCAAAGCCCCACTCAACATCATCGACTTAATTGCTATCCTGCCCTTCTACCTTTATATCGTCTTCTTCGAAGTGGCCGCTCGCCACAAACACGACTCCCTCTCCTCCCTTCGCAAGGCGGTACAGATTTTTCGTATCCTCCGAATCCTACGCATCTTCAAGCTGGCTCGCCACTCCACGGGCCTGCAATCGCTCGGCTACACCTTTCGACGCTCCTACAAAGAACTCGGCCTTCTCATGATGTTTGTCGCCATGGGAGTGCTGCTCTTCTCCAGTTTGGCCTATTTCGCCGAGAAAGACGACAATCCGCACATGTTCCGCAGCATCCCGGCCGCCTTCTGGTGGGCTGCCATCACCATGACGACAGTGGGCTATGGCGACGTGTTGCCACGGACGCCGGTGGGCAAAGTGATTGGTGCCAGTTGCTGTATCTGTGGGGTGCTTGTGGTCGCTCTGCCCATCCCAATCATCGTGAACAACTTCGCCGAGTACTATAAAGAGCAGATGCGTCGGGAAAAGGCTATCAAACGACGCGATGCTCTCGAGCGGGCCAGACGAACCGGCAGTTTGATCTCGCTCTACGAGTCGACCAACGAGCTGGGCACAGAGTCGTCAACGGAGGCGGAGGCGAAAGTTGAGTCGGGTCTCGTGGCAGCGACGAATGGACGAGATGGCGAGACGCGACTGTTGATGCCCGAGCCGGACGGCGAGGCGGAGACGACGTCGACGACGCGACTGTTGGCCCGTTCGACGGGCGCTTTCTGTCAGAGACGTTCGGAAGCTCTGCTCGGTCCGCCAATGCGACTGCCACTGGGCGCTTTGAGCAAGTCGAGAAGCCAATTCGCCGGAACAGCGTCACGGGCATCGTTGCCGTCGTTCTTGTGCTCCGCGTCGCTGTTGCCCACCGACAGAATCGGCAGACGAGACGGTCATATTCGGGATCGCGAAGGTAGCTTGTTGCAGAGCAGAGGGTCAACTGTGGAACATCGCTCCGTTTGTGAGTCTATTCTGTCCGCACTGGTCAAGGTCAATCCGTACGCGGAGGCCATGACGACGTGTCCAAACGACGCGGCCTCGACGAAAGAGACCGCTGAGACGAGGACATGTGGAGCATGTGTCGGCGCTAAGGAAGTGGGCGAGCCGAAGCAGAGGTCGGAGGAGCAGCAAGAAGACAAGTCCGCCGCGAAGACGAAACAGAAGTGGCTGTGCCACGGAGCGCCCGTCGAGTCGAGGGGCCGACTGCGCCAATTGTCGAGCTTCACGGGACTGGGCTCGAGTTCCGCACCTCGGCCGAAGCCGAAGCCGAGGCCGGTCGATCTGACCAGGTCAGAGGGTGGCCGACGACAGAGAGCGGTTTCCCTGAACGCTGTCTACCCGAGACGTCTGTTCGACCCGGGCGATCCGCGCCACGCAGACCAGCAACACTCTGCGGCCCGGCAAGGCTCGAGGCCGAGTCTGGCCTCTGCCATGTCTGCTCATTGTCACTGGCGCCGGGCCGGTCCGTGAATGGGCCGGAGGCGATGGGCTTCCTTCTCGTTTGGCCGCCTCTCAGGCAAGTAGCGTCTGTACGTGATCTGATATTGACAGGAGAAGATACGAAGTGGAACTGGATCTCGATAAATGTCTTGAGTTAACATTGTTTGCGAGACTTTCATTGCGTGGGAAAGTGTATGAAGAAGAGATTTGACGGATCATGATGCCAAAAGACGACAGCTGATTCACACTTAACTGCATTCGTTTGGCCTTGTTATGACGTCCAGATTGAGGCAGGTTTTGTACGAATGCTTATTTCGAGAGATGCTTCGAAACCCTTATCTACTTCATGTAGGCAGGATAGAGAGGGGCAGTCTACTTGACTTGGTGCTTGTTCACTTGAGATGTTTACAAGAATGAGTTCCAGCTCTGATGATGTCCATCATATGATGGACGAAACTTCAGCCGATTTTCACCAAAAATGAAGGAGGATGCCACATGGACGGCATTAACTTGAGCGTTGTACTTAAGCCAAACGGCTGCAGTACAACGAGAAAGTCTGTAGTGAAAACTTCCATTTCGTATAGAAGTACATTAGGAAAAAAATCATACTTAATCTCGCCAGAAGACGCCGGCTGTCTCGCATTGTACTGCAGCAGTTGATGCAATCCGTTTCGGGTGAAAACGAGCTGAGCTCTCACTCGTCGTGTAACGAACATCGTCAGAGCTGGGACGCATTCTTGAAAAGCCTCACGTTGACACTAACTCATGAAGACTGGTCGGATTTGTCTATATAATATATATATACACTAATTGTGAGAAAAATGTAATATATAGATGGATATAGAAAGGTTTGTTAATTCACGTATATTCAAGTGTGTCGGAGTGTGTGTGTTTGCGTATACGGTGACGTCTGTATGCAAAACCGGCCATAACTTAGAGAAATTAGGAAGAAGCTTGATGCAAACCTAGAGTAACCAAGGCTTAATGACCCAAAGAAAAAAGCATGATCGAAAATGCGTTAGTCCATAAGTAACCCAAGTTGAAATGATAAGATTTAAGTCTGTACGTGTGAAAATCAGGTTACAAAACCACAAGTTAGAGCCTTTTAGTATGTGATATTAATGTTTAATGACCGAAGGAGAGTCATGG